TTAATAGCAGATATCATTTGATTCCCTAAGACAGTTTCTTTGCAGAGTGACACTCTACTATACTATAGTTTAGATTTATCAGCCTACAATTTATATACTGAGAGGTAATTAGCCTATACAGAAAGCTATGCTACAGATATGCGGCTTAAAAACAAGATTCAACACTGATTATTACAAAACATTCAAGTCAAGATGCTTCTTACAGGTCAGTGCAAAAACTATCAATTCCTCTTAAGGAAAAAGATTGGAAGAGACTCATATTCTTCCCAAAAGAAATCTAGAGCCTTCTAGCTATTTTCTATCAACTAAATAAAAATCAATAGGCAGTAAAAGAAATTAACCAGACCCTTTATAGACATAGCTGACATAATTAATAGCTACTGTTTGGTAAATAACTTTCTTTACCAAGGGCCATCATCTACTAGCCATCACCACCCATGCCAATATTTCCGTGGTGCACAATATTGCACCGGAGATCAGGCCATCTTTCTTTCATGCTGCCTCACTCCATACTGCCACAGGGTACTGAAAAAGGCAGGCTGGAGAAGCTAATGACATCCTCCCCCTTTTGCCACTGCCCTCTGCCAGGATCATTAGCAATTCTGAACTGATTAATTGCTGAAATCCCAGCCTTGAAACAGTGTTCAGTTAGAAGAGCAACTGCTGAAAAGATCATCTTAATATGGGCTTCAGAATTAATTATGTGTAATACAGTCAGCAACTTTCATAATAAATTTACCACACTTCAGCAAGTCTGAACAGAGCTGAAAAGTTTTCCTCTTTGCTTGTTTAAAGACAACATGTACCCAAGCCACTTACGGTCTAATCTGCAGCTTAGAACTGCCCACAGCAAGAAAGACTAGATCATTTTAGCCTTCTCCAAAAAGCTGAACTCACAAAACAAAGGAGTAAGGAATGCTCATTTTCAATGAATAAATGGGAATTCTAGATGTATAGGCAAATAATCAAGAGCAATATAAACAGAGAGGTATGAAATTTCAGAGCAAATAGCTGATCTGGGCACGTGGCTGTGAGATGAGCATTCTAGTATTATTGATGAGAAGTTATTCATTGTATCTACTAGGGTAGACACAGTTTACTTTGCCCTTTTAGTAGTGGGACACGTCTGGCCACACAGAATGTTATGCTGAGCCACTACCTACAGAGAAGTTAGGATGAGAAATGGTTCTTATCCTAGGAAGGATATATTAAGAAATATACGTAAGAAAGACTGGGTCATCTCTCACTGTCAATAAATGGCACTCACTACTGAATCCATTCACTACTCTGGTGTGTTATCTTATCATGGTTTAAAGAAATATTCATTCAACTATCTAATCTATCTATCTATCTATCTATCTATCTATCTAATCTATCTATCTATCATCTATCTATCTACCTATCTAATCTATCTATCATCTATCTATCTGTCTACCTATCTACCTACCTACCTACCTACCTATCTATCTATGGAAGATTAGCCTTGAGCTAACAAGTGCTGCCAACCCTCCTTTTTTTGTTGAGGAAGAATGGCCCTGAGCTAACAACATCCGTGCCCATCTTCCTCTACTTTATATGTGGGATGCCTGCCACAGCATGGCTTGATAAGCATTGCATAGATCTGCATCTGGAATCCGAACAGGGAAACCCCGGGCCACCAAAGTGGAACATTTGAACTTAACTGCTGCGCCACGAGGCCAGCCCCCAATGAATTGTTTTATTATGAAGTGATACCATTGGTGATTAATTACAGAAGAGGTAAATTTCCCAGGACGTCTGAACCTGCAAACTCAGGCTGCTGAAGCAGAGTGTGCAAACTTAACCACTATGCCACCAAGCCGGCCCCAACTAGGATATCTGAAATCTACACTCAGCCCAAGTAGAATCAAGGTTTCAGCGGTCTTAATATCTTAATGGGTATTTTCCCACAATGTAAAATAATTCCTATTTCTGGCATAAGGGCCCCAAGGAGATATAAAAAATCCTAACAGGGAGGGGGTCTTCTAGGGCAGAAATGATGGGACAAGCTACTGAATAACTATGTTATAAGCCAGGATAAGGATAAATAAACACCAGAGAAATGCCACTATCTGGCAATATGCTTGGAACCAGTTTGGATTTAGTTAATCATGCTGGTGAGTTCACTCCGATGTGAACCAAGGTGGGGAAAACATGCCTTTTGGGGAGTAGAGCTACAACTACTTGCTTTTTAAGCTAAAAAGAAAATTAAAATTAAAAAGCTCTATATGACACCCAAAACTATAACTTTTCTGCCAAAATTTAATAATTATTTTCTTAAGTAAATATATGCAAAATAATCCCTGCTATAGCTTTATCTAGCTCCAAATTTTAAGAAATTAGTAATGGAAATTAAATTACATGGAATTGTGCTTATTTCCTAGATTTATTCCTATAGGTTGTTCATGACTAGTACCTATTTAAAATTATTTGAAGTATGTTAATGAAGTCTCAGTCATTAGGGAGATAACATATGTATACACTCACAAATTCTTTTGGGGTCAAGCCTGAGGCCACCATGGATATTCTTCTGATGACTCTTTCGGTCGAAGATATCATTTCTGGCTTCTCCCTGCTCACACTGTCTTCCTTCACATTAGACCCAACAATATTAGTAGTATGAGCACCAGCTGGACTCTTGGCAGATTCTTCAACTCGAAATTGGAGTGATTTCATCGCAGAGGTTGAAGCTGGCATGCTGCAAACATGAGCTGCCTCTAGAGCTCTCTCTTCAGAGGGATCAGACTCAGGCTCATGAGAGAACAGGCTAATTCCAGATTCCAGGTAAGGGGTTGCCTCTGAAAGAAATGAGGGAAGAAGTTAAATCCACGTGACAATGTATCTTTAATTACAATGTCTATTTTCTGCTAAGAATCAAAAAGATCAAGTTAGATTAAGAGAAAAAGGGGTACATTAATACACTGTTAGTGGAAGTGCAAAGTGGCTTAACTTTTCTAAAGGACAGTTTGGCATTATGTTCCAAAAGCCTTCTGTGTTCACACTTTTGGGCAATAATTCTAGTTTTAGAAATGTATCCTAAGAAAATAAAAGGTGTATGCAAAAGTTTAGTCAGAGGAATGCTCACTGCAACACTGTTTATAACAGTTAAGTTTTAGAAACAACCTAAATGTACAATAATAGGAGATTAAATAAATTATGACATATCCATTCCAGTGGAGTAGTCTTCACCTATTACATGTAATTACAATAAAATGGAGAAATGCACACACCCATATTCATTGCAGCATTATTCATATAGCCAAGAGGTGGAATGTCTATCAATCAAATGTCTATCAATGGATGAATGGATAAAGAAAATGTGGTATATACGTACAATGGTTTTTTTTTTTTAAAGATTTTTTTATTATTTCCTTTTTCTCCCCAAAGCCCCCTGGTACATAGTTGTATATTCTTCGCCGTGGGTCCTTCTGCTTGTGGTACATGGGATGCTGCCTCAGCGTGGTTCGATGAGCAGTGTCATGTCGGCGCCCAGGATTCGAACTGACGAAACACTGGGCCACCTGCAGCGGAGTGCGCGAACTTAACCACTCGGCCACAGGGCCAGGCCCCGTACAATGGTTTTTAAAAAGCTACTCAGCTTTTGTTTTTGAAGAAGAAGATTAGCCCTCAGCTAACTGCTGCCAATCCTCCTCTTTTTGCTGAGGAAGACTGGCCCTGAGCCAACATCCGTGCCCATCTTCCTCTACTTTCTATGTGGGATGCCTACCACAACATGGCTTCAAGCAGTGCCATGTCCGCACCTGGGATCCAAACCGGCGAACCCCGGGCTGCCGAAGCGGAATGTGCACACTTAACTGCTGCGCCACTGGGCCGGTCCCAAGCAATATTTTATTGCTAATGACAGAAACACAGGTAATTTTAAATATTCCTTTTTATTACCTATATTTTCCAACTGTTTGGCACTGAACATACAGTACGTTTGTAAGGAAGGAAAAAAAGTTGAAAAATGAGACAAATACTGGAGTTTTGGTTCTTCATCCAGGATGATATCATTACCTTTTTCACAATAAATCATCAGATATCATTACCAAATTAAAAATAGGAGATCAACTCTGAAATATTTCAAAAAATGTAACTCCATCAGGAAGTAAAGCACAGCTAAGTAGAACGCATGAGATTCCTAAAATGACCCTAATGAAGATGGTCAAATCCCACAGTTAGATGCCAAAGAGCACCTTTTATGATAATGTGTTTTTGAGGATTAATTTAAAACTTTCTTTACTGATTAAAACTTTGATTTACAAGCCATAAAACACACTATTCATTTAAAATGATTTATTAGGCATAAAATATATAGTCATTTATATTCATTAATTCATAAAATAAAAGCTTACTTTGGAGATTTGACTCAGTTTTCAATAAAGGACAGGCCTAAACCTTTACTCTAGGAGCCTAAAACTCTTAACAGCTGAAGTAAAATATTACAGCGCACCAGGACTCACCCACCCTCAAAACTGTTAGAGTTAAACCAACATAGACAGACTAACAGCTGCAATAATTTTCAAGTAAACTTGGATTAACAGTCAAGCTATTTTTCTAAAATGGGTTTACATACAACAGATGCATTCATGATAGACTAGTACATCTAAAAGGTGATTAACCAGAATATCTTTAGGTAAATTTCAGAGTGAAATAAAAGCGTTCTCTCTATCAGAGCAGATGAAATATTACCTAGATCTTGTCTTGGCAAATAAGACTGCTCCATTAAATCTTGGGCCTCAGATTTTGTCAGTTGCTGCTCCTCCGCATCAACAGCCTTAATGAACTCCTTTTGAGATGGGCAGTTTCTGTTCTGAAGACTCCTTGAGTGACTGTGCACACACCACCTATTATCTAACAACTGGGATTTAGAAGGGGAAGACCTAGAAAGGAGGATGTAAAAAGAAAATCATCACCACAGCTTGTGAAAGGACTAATCATACTTCCCAGGCAGCCAAAGCGGAAGTGAAACAGCTCACTGTGAGATTGGGAATGACCAGTAAAAGACAACCCAAGTAACGGCCTAGAAGTCTGGATTCATGATGCCTGCCAACCTGTCAGGGCTGACAGATAACATCTCCCCTTAGGGTCTGGTCTGAAGCAGTATATCTCCTAGCTGTTTAAAAGCATGTCAGTAAATTTCACCAAATTATCTATTGCCACTCACTCAAATTCTATACACTATTCCACTTGAGTCCAAATGGATTTTAGAATCAGATCTCTCATGAAGAGAGACAGTTGATTAATTTTGACATCACTACACTCATTCTTCCTACTCAGTTTTGGCAAAATTCACAGAATGATCCCTACCTCCTGCCTTTTCAATGTCCAAAGTCATTCTAAACACAAACATCAGCTATAAAACATTGTTAGAAGAGCAAATGCACCCATAATTGTTCTACTCATTCAGGTGTTTAGAATTTTGCTGAATAAGATATTTATTAACAGATTTAAAGGACCTCAGAGATAGCTAAGAAATTCAAACAATTATTAGGTGTTTACTATGAGTCAGTCAGGCACTGAAGATAGGCCCTGAGGATTAAAGATGAGCAAGACCAGAAGTGCTGCTCTCAAGTAGTCTAGTAGATGGAGGAAGTTCAACGAATGAGTAGGTTCTCTAATAGAAGTCTCTATAGGGTACAGTGGGGAGGGGGAGGAGCAGGAATATTTAGTCTGAATATTAAATGGATGGTTAGCTCAATTGGTTAAAGCATGGCAATAAGGTCATTACCTCTAAACATGGGTCTAGTGCCTGTGGAGGCCAGATCTTTCCATTCTCTGTCACAGCCACAATGCCAGTACCCCAGCCTTAAAAAATATATCCTCAGTCTAGTCCAAGAGGCTTGGAAAAGACGATGTGATTAAATTATTGACAACTTGTCACTACTCCCAGAAAGATAAGTAAAAAATGTACATACACTCAGTAGGAACTCAATAAATATGAATTCCTTTTCCTTCCTAGAGTGTGAGATGTGTGACTCTAACGGCTCTGAGACTCTTTCCTGAACTATCAAATAGGAATAATAGTCCAGGACTCATCCTTCTACGCTCACTGCTGTTGTAAAGAGCCAATGAGGAAGTAGGTAAAGTATTTTTGAAAATATAAAGTGTTATACAGTCTTATTTCAATAGTGACTTGAAAAGACATCTCTGAAAGATATTCTGAATATTTCCTGGGGTAAATCAAGTTAAACTTTTTCTAGAAAGGCAAAAACTTCAATTAGGGCAAGGACTGCCTTGGAGGAGTCAACTGTCAGCCTCCAGCCTTGTTTAGCTTTCAGTTCTGTATTTTATTCTGACCTCCAGAAGGAACAGATCTACTGAGCATTTCTCATGTAGCTCATGCCTTATTACGTCCAAAAAGCCATATGCAATTAAACGAAGTGTCCTAGAGCATTGAGAGGTTAGAAATGTCTGAGTACAGAAAACTAGAGAAAGTAGGGTAAAAAAATTTAACACTAAGAGTTCAATACAAGTAAAGGTATTACTTAGATACTACAACTTGACATTTATTACTTCTTACCTTTCCATTTCTGGTTCTCTATTTTTACTGGTGGAACTATCCAGAGATATTTGAAACTTGTCAGCAGAAAGGTTTTCTGGATTCTGGCTTATAGGATATTCACTACTTTTCTCTGAAGTTAATACTGCTTTAAATGGAATAAGAAAACAAAAAATCAATTTTACTGCCTTCTCGTAATGGTGATAATTCAGGTGAAGATAGCGATTTTTTCAAAAGCGGCAATCTGTGACAATCAAATTGGTTTTTAAATAAGTATGTCCTACGGAATTTTACAAACACAAGTGATGTAGCACCAACTGGAACTAAATAACTGAAAAATAATAATGACAACAAAAAGGAACACTTTAAGACTGAGTAAATGCAGATACCTAGCTGAGATAAGGTTGAAAAAACCCTATATTTATATTTTTTGGCCCTGAATAAGGAAACAAGAATAGGAAATGAATTTTTATCTCTGCAGCAAAATAAATTATACTCAGATCGCTTTAGATAATGGGAAAGAGAAAGTACTGGAAAATGCAAAGGCACATTTCCTTTTCCATCTCTATTGCCTCCACATCAAAGACTGGATAGGACAGGGGTTTGATCTTTTGCACATGGGGGGATACAAGAGGGGCAGAGTCAGATGAGGAAGAAAAAACAGGTGACGTTTTTCTTCACATTTTCAATTACTAGGAAAAAAGCCAAGAAACCAATACACACAAAAAAACCAAAGTGCCAACTGATAAGAAACCTTGAAGTAACATATGGAAATAATGATAAAACAGCACAAAAAAGGAAAACACACAAAACAGACCCAAGGCAAAGTTCTGGCATGTTAGTACATCCTTTTTATTTATTAATTCCTCCAAATGTATTATTGTGCCACTGCTTTCTAGGAAGTGGGTTAAAGACAGAAATACTTAAAAAGCAAAAACAAGTACTTAAAAATTACAAATGTCATCTATCCATTAAAAAGTCATTGATGACTGTAGTTTATTTTGAGCTTTTATTAGAAAAGCTAAAATCCATAAATTGAGGCAGAAAATTTTAAACAAATGGCTAGCTTAATTAAACTGTTTTTTAAGACACTGGGTAGCTTGGGGGAAATAATCATTGATTTCCTGAGTTAATCCTCAAATGCATTATTTGTAGTTTCCTTTATGCTCATCTTTTCTGGACCTGAGTTTCTAGGAACATAAGAACTCTGCCTGGAGCTACCAGCTGCTGAAAGGAAGCAGGGTCTAACCCTGAACCAGCAGATTTTTCTTTCAACAGGGTATGTAAAGCCTTCTAATATAGGCACCATTTCCCCCCAAATATAGGGTGATAACTCATAAAAGGTAATGTGCGGTCTCTGAGGAATCACACCAAAAAGAATTAACCATTGGAAAGAGTTTAAACAAAAAGTGAAAGAGTCGGGGGAAGCCTCAGATAAAGATATTAAAAAGTCATTCGATCAGAGGCTGGCCCTATGGCTGAGTGGTGAAGTTCGCACGCTCCGCTCCAGGCAGCCCAGTGTTTCGTTGGTTCGAATCCTGGGCGCAGACATGGCACTGCTCAGCAAACCACACTGAGGCAGCGTCCCACATACCACAACGAAGAATATACAACTATCTACCGGGGGGCTTTGGGAAGAAAAAGGAAAAAAATAAAATGTTAAAAAAAAAAAAAAAAGTCATTCGATCACCTGAATGCTTAGCAGATGAGTTCCCCTTTTCACTACAGTGGGGTTCAAGCTACTTCCAGGAAGAAGATAAGATAAGCTGAGTTAGGATTCAGTAACTCAATAGCACCTAAAAAACACAGGGCAAAACTTTTCTGCTCTTCTTTTTCCTTAATCCTTATTTCATAGATGCAGGGATCCGGAGCCCCAGTACTGGAACAGTACCATAGTCCCCCTTAAATCATTCTCTCAGCTGGTGGTCTTAGCATGTTATGTTCTTCATGGGTAGGGAATATGGGCCAGACCAAACATTTGCTAACTCTTCTGCCTATTAGCTGCTAAGCACTGTGCAAAGTATTCGGAAGAATCAAAGGAAAAGACACTGGGGATGAAGGAAGGAGATATTAAGAAATGAAAAACTATAAAATACAGAACCCATAATGAAATTCAGCTTTAAAAAGTGCATAACTCCCCCACCCCAACTGATTCTGAATTTCCAGGGGAGGAGCCTAGGAATTTTTAACAAGTGCTTCCAGGAATGACCATACTGCAGAACAGAAAAGCTCGGCTGTTTGCAAATCACTTCCACTTAACAGGCTATGATCTTACAAATGCTAATGTTTGCTTTATCAATGACAGGTAATCCAGGAGAAAGAAAACAACAAAGTGCCTGATGTGAAATAGCTTTACCTGCAGAAAGAGGTACACATAATTTATAACAGGTAAGTATATACATTTGCACAAAAGTATTATGCAGGCTTGGGAATGACCCTTAGATAAACAGTAGGGCAGATCTATGCTGAGGGCAAGACATTGATGTAAAGACCCTAAAAAAAGGGACTTTTGTCATCTTTAAGAATACTGGATCTTAAAAAATAAAAATTAGTCAACTATGACTTAGCCTCGAGTTTCACTCGTTACTAGTAATGTACCAATGTTGGTTTCTTCCGACACAAGTGCCACGGTAACGCAAGATGACAACATTAGGGGAGACTGAAACTAGGTAGGGGGTAGAGTCCCTGTAGGAACTCTCTGTACTATCATTGCTCCTTTTCTGTAAATCTAAACTTATTCAAAAATAAAAAGTTTATTAAAAATATATGTCATTAGTACAGCTGAAGGTAAACAAAACTCCTTTTCCAAAGATGAAGAAGTTTGCTTGAGGGGCGGGCCTGGTGGCGCAGCGGTTAAGTGCGCACGTTCTGCTTCGGCAGCCCGGGGTTTGCCGGTTCAGATCCCAGGTGCGGACATGGCACCACTTGGCAAACCATGCTGTGGCAGGCGTCCCACATAGAAAGCAGAGGAAGATGGGCATGGATGTTAGCACAGGGCCAGTCTTCCTCAGCAAAAAGAGGAGGATTGGCAGCAGTTAGCTGAGGGCTAATCTTCCTCAAAAAAAAAAAGGAAGTTTGCTTGAATTTCAGTTAGACTCACACTAATTTAAGAGGGAAAAATGCACAAAACTTAAGTTGGTATTAAGTTGATGCTCAAAACATTTCAGAAATAAAGCCACAAAATTCCACAATCCATACCCAGAAATTTTCTTTCCGTAAGTCTGGGGTGGGTTTCAGAGTTTTAATCATGTGAATTAAAACATTCATTGAGCACCTACTGTGTTCCAGGGCCAGGGCTAAGGGTTCTCTGCCCTCATGGGCCTACATTCTAGTAGGAGGTAAAGAGGAACTCTAAACAATACAGAAAACAAATTACAGATTGTTAAAAGTTAATAAGGGCTGTGAAAAAAATAACAGCATAACAGAGTAAAGTAGGGCTGGAAAAGTCAGAGGTAAAAGTTACAACAAAAAACACAGCAGTTATGGTAGATCTCATTAAGAAGTAGCATTTGAACACATGTTCAAGTTATGCAAATATGAGTGGTCATGGAAGACACTCTCTATGGAGTTGCGAGAGGAGAACTTCTTTTTTTTAACCAGGAAATTCTCATAAGCCTCTCCTCCCTCCTCTCAGCATTTACCCACCTATCTCAGAACTCTGAGGATGTGACAATTTCATGAGAAAGTAGACCAATGAATAAGTGTACTACAAAGGATAGAGTAACAGCTCCTAACAAAAATGTTTTATATAGAGATTCAGAAGAAATTTTCAAAAAGGTTTTCAAATCCATAGCAAAATAGAATACATAAAAATAAGCACTTATGAAATTTAAAAATAAAAAGCAAGCAAGCCACAAAGAAACACTTTGTCTACAGATCTTCAGGAAAAAATAAACATATACACACCCCCAAAGATGAGACAGTAGATTTACACACACTTTCAAAACCAGACAATAACATTTTGTAGCTCGTGCGTTAAAATCGAAAGACTAGTCTGCTTTTAGACTGAAGATGGTGAAAGCACCCCAAAGAAAAGAATTGTCTGAGGATGAGACTTTGGACTTCATTATTTGGGAGATGAATTAAATAAAGATATAGTTACAAAGAAAGCATTTAAGGAAATAAATTTTGAATCACTGCCATAGCAACAGAGTTCCCAGCTTCTCATGCATGAGCTACTGTTTCTCGCTGAACACAAAAATACTGCAAGGCACACTCTGGGACCAAGGCCACTATTCTGAATAATTAAGACTTGAATTTCTAGAAAGACTCAAAGGAAGGCCCCATGGCCCCCAGTAGGACTGGGGAAGGGAGTGATGAAGAAAAGAAATTGAACACGAAGTAGTCTGAGTAGGCATCACTGAGAAGGTAGTGAAGAACCCTTTGGGAGGGCTCACCAGACTTACCTGTTACTAAGCACCAGCTCCCCCTCTGGAAGCCATGCCTGTGCCTGGCCTCTCAACTACGTGCCTACGTATTTGCACCTATTTAAAAACCTGTCTGATGTGCTGCCTTCACAAGGCAGCAATTAAAAACTCAATTAAAAACTCAAATTTCCATCTCACTTTCCTTCATTTATGCCATGTTATTCCTCAGCTCAGTGCTCACTTCTCATAGGAAGACAGTTCTGATCAACTCCACCTGCCTGACTACTCCAAATGCCTCCTCTCAGAGGTACATGTGACGTGTTGATAACTATAATGTTGTTATAGAGCACCTGGCTACCGCACAGTTGGGCTTTCTGTGGATCGAGGTGCGGTTCCTAAAGTATAGGACAACTCTCCCTATAAACCAGAAAGCGCATTAAATAGGGCTTTGTGATCTAACACCAGTGTTATAAGGAATATGTCTGAGTGTTTTTTTATAAGCTTTCTAATATGATAGGGTTACCTATTTCCAATCTCCCCCATTACACTCAGCTTCCTATAGCTCTCCATGGCATCTCCTCATTGTAGGTACTCAGTCAATGATACTTAATGACTGTCTTCGTCCGTCTGAATGGTAAATTAGCTGTGAGCAGGGACTAGAACCAAGGCTCTAAAATTACCCACGGAGTGACTCAGCAAATAGATGCTGAGCAAAGATCATAAAATGTTGGCGTTAGGTCCACACTTTTCAGGAGGAGAAAGGCTTAGGGAGGGAAGAATTTTGCTTAAGATAACAGTGTTTGGCCAATATTACAAACCTCTTTCTGATGTGTTTTGTTCTGGATTTAGCAGGTCCTCAGAGGCACAACAATCAGCTATGAGGGAAGGGGAGCGGTTAGAAGGCTGGCTCCCGTGCTGCTCTAACACAGCTTCCAGCTCGGCCATCTTCTGCTGAAGCTTTATCAGGTTATCTTGCATGGTATCCCTCTGCTGCAAACACAAGAAATGACACCAAGAAAGTTGCACTCTTTTAGAAACTTGCCAGAAAGCAAGAATATGTCACAACAATTAATTTTAGTATGGGAATTAAAATCATCTAGTATGGAATTATGAGTTCTGGTTGAACACCTTTTAATCCAAGCATATTCATGCAATTAATGCCCATGGAATTATTTCAGAATGTTAGAGGAGGAAAAAAAATTCCTCAAACTCTCCCAAATAGACTTGCTTTATTGTGATGTCCTTTTGAAAATAGTTATTTTCTTTTAAAGCTAAGGAGTGAAAAAGAATTATGGTACTTAAACACTTTTGATATTTAAAATTAGCATGATTCTGTTAACATTTCACACAGGCTGTGTTTCAAAGATTTGGTATTGTGGAACTCACAAGAGACTTTGGTTAGTCTATATAAAAATGTCTGATTTCTGGTTTGTGAGGACTCTTCCTTTTCTGGGAGTCTCTGAACATTTAGTTTCTAACGGAAACAGTAAAGAGCTAATTCATTAATTTATCTATTTGTTCATTCAACAGCTACTTGTTGACCATCTCTTAGATGCCAGGCACTGTCCTAGTGTTGGGCATACAGTTCTCATGGTTCTGCCTTTCTGGATGGGGACAGGGTACCTGGAGATCACAGAGCAGGACCTGCTAGAGGGAAGGATCCAACAGAAAGAGCCCTAGGAAAGCCTGTGAGAGCAGCTGTTGTTTTCAATTCAAGATAATGGGCTCTTCTAGCTTATGGGGCTCCTGAGGTTTATTTCTCCATTTTAAGAAAAACTCTGCTAAATCTAAGGGTTTTGATAAGCAAAGTATTTGGTAAGTAAGGAGCTTTCCAAAACATACACTTCTTCATTACTTTTAGAAGGAGCATCAGTGGTTGCCAGCAAACCCAGGGGAAACACAGATTGTTTCACCCTCCGTTTCTTCTTCTTCTGATCCTTGAAAATGACTTGGCCCTCTACTAAAAACACCACGTACTTTCTCCTGCTACACTGAGTTCAGTTTTCAGGAGGTTTTTATGAGCAGAAAACGTATTCCCAGTTTCACAAAGGCTTCCACTGCTACCCTGAGACTGCTTTGCTGCCAAAGTCTGCAGCAGCGCCATTGCCACCACGTGGTGCTTGTGAGTAGTTCCTTCACTGATCAAACCCTAGCCAAAGGCTTGCCTCAGTAAATCTGGAATGACACCACACAGATTTCCAATAAGCTTCAGAAGCTGTTTTAGGCACTACTGTCAGGAACATCACATCTAACCTCTACATAGCTGTTCAACAGGTTAGAAAATCCAAAAATAGTAATGGGAGAATTATAGTTAGATAACTTTCCTTTGGGTTTCCCAGAGGAATTACTTTATAACTTAGACAAATTCCCCTGTAGGCAATCGGCCAGATACACTTGGGAGACCAAACCCAAATTGGTGACCAAGTTTTCTTGATTCTAATTCTTAAGTCTTTCTTGAATTAGCCCTCCTCTTCTTTTCTATTCCCACCATGCTACTCTGATCTCTACTTTTAATACAGCTACATTACTGTGGAAGTTCCCTAAAAGCCATGTTTATCATGTCTCTTTCTTCCATAAGGACCTTGGCGGTATGCCACTGCTCAGATAATAAGTTAATACTTTCTGAACACTATATAATTAGCACTCATTATTGCCCTCAGGATAAAGTCCAAATTCCTAAGCATAGCATTCAAAAAGCCCTTCACAGCCCCATCTTATCTCTTATTTCTCCCCAAAACTACCCATATGCTCTGTTTTCCAGTCACTCAGGACAACTCTGTGCTTTGTGGGCATTTCATGCCTCTGTGCCTTTGCCTCGATTGCTGCCTCCCTTCTCTTTCCAACCTGGAAAAATTCTTCTCATCTTTCAAAGCCCAGCTCAAATGTCTCCTTTGGAAGTCCTCACCAATACATCCCGTCAGAACAGGGGATCCCTCACTACTTCATTTATACTGCTCATGCGTTAGTATACTAAAGTGGAATATATGACCCTCCTTGATGGGAGGAATCTTTCCTTAATCATTTTTGTATCCCCAATGCCTAGCAGACAGTAAGTACTCAGTAAATGTTTAATGCAGAAATGAGTTACCAAATGAATATAGTTAATCAGTCTTTGATAAAAAACAGATGCTAATGATACCAAATTAGGATTTCTCTGTCTCTTATATATACTTCTCCTCAGTTCTGTATAACAGAGAGGGAAAGATCCCACTTCATTCTGCCTGTCTGTGCTACTCTAGATTCAAGTTAGCCCTAATATCTGACTAGCTCTGTTTTGAGTAGATGCTTGATAAAAACACTTTGCAAAATGAATCTTGAACAAATAGACATATCTCTGGGAATAAGATCAGGAATATAAAAAACAAGGAGGTAGTTTATTGAATGTTAAATATAACAGAATATGGCTAAGGCAGATGGAATCAGAAACTGCTGATCAGGAACACTCCAACCTACTTTAAAACACAAAGGACAAAAAGGTGAAAGGCATATTGACAGAGCCCCAAATCCATTCCCAGAAAGAATCATAGGAATTGGAAACAGAGAAAAGGCCTCCTAAGTCTTTTCATTAATTTAGTCACCATGGCAATCCTGCAGAAGTGGAGAATACTGGTGAGAACTCAGGTACAGAACAGGCAGTCATCTCAAAGGTTTTCTCCTGACTCCAGCAGGCTAGAGGGATTTGCTCTGCATAGAAAATGGGCAGTAGAAGACAAGCCCTCTCTCTTTGTAGTCCTCATAGCAATGCCAAGATTTAGAATATTTTAAAACTGGATACCACCCAGTGTGGGCAAAGGTTCAGGAAAATGGGAACTACCAAGTACCAGAGAGGCTGAAAGAGCACAGATTGGTTCAGGGTTCGTCAGTTAGGATCCCAAGTGCGGACACGGCACCGCTTGGCAACCCATGCTGTGGTAGGCGTCCCATATATAAAGTAGAGGAAGATGGGCACGGATGTTAGCTCAGGGCCAGGCTTCCTCAGCAAAAAGAGGAGGATTGGCAGGAGATGTTAGCTCAGGGCTAATCTTCCTCAAAAAAAAAAAAAGACCAAAAATTCCAGTCCCAGGAATTTATACTAAGGAAATCATTGGGGATGTGGGCAAATTTTTAGCTATCAATATACTACTCCAGTGCTGTGCAAAATAGCAAACTGTGTCTCTGACTCTGATTGAATAAATCATGGTATATCCTAAAAATAAAGTCATTGAAGAAAACTTAATGACATAGCAAAAACTACATTACAATGTAAGTATGTAGAGTATTATCTGAATATCTTTAAAGATAAGGTATACACATATACCCCAGTGCACATACAGGAAGAGTGGAAGAATATATACCAATAAGTTAATAGGAATTTTGTCTAGATAACTCATAGAATTTAATTTTTTAAATAGTTAATATAAGCACTTGGTATAAAATTCAAGGTGCAAAAGGATATTCAGAGAAAAGTAAGGCTTCCTTCTTCCTCTTCTCTTCAGTCATCTATTTCCCCACCTGAAGGCCAATTATTACCCGTCTTCTGTGTATCTTTCCAGAAATAAATGCTAAAATTTACCAAACTATCCTCTTTGGATGACTTTATAAATTGTGATAAAATTTACCATTTTTAAGTATATAGTCAGTGGCATTAAATATTTTCACATTGTTGCCAACCATCATCACTATCTCTCTCCAGAACTTTTCCATCATCCCAAACTGAAATTCTGTCCCCAATAAACAGTAACTCCCCATCTCGTCCCCCCGACCCAAGTACTATTCTACTTTCTATATCTACGGATTTGACTATTCTAGGTACCTCTTATAAGTGGAATCATAATATTTGTCCTGTAGTGTCTGGCTTATTTCACTTAACAAGGTTTTCAAGATTCATCCATGGATAATTTTTCTTTATCTGTATTTTCTAAGTTTTCTATGATGCACATGTATAACTTTAGAAGACTATCAGGCCTTTCTCAGTTTTATCTATCCTGGCACTTCAGGAAGTTCAGAAAAAATGTCATTCACTTGCTGGCAGCTGAAGATGCATTTAAGATTTAGATGAGAAAAAGAAGTCGTGGCAGGATGATTCAAGGCAGTCCAGGATTCTTCACTTTAAGAATGTGCCTATTACAGTTCAGAGAAGATAAGTAAATTGCCTAGAGTAACACGGCCAGGTATAGAGCTCTCACCACTATTACCACCAGCAATCACTGTGTGCACATTCTGAAAAAAATAAGCTGACATGAGCCTGAATTTTTGAATATGAGAACTTGGAAAATTTTGGTGCCACTTCTACAATATAAAAATTAGGAGACAGAGCCAGGTTCTACGAGGAGGTAACATTAATTTTTAAATGTTATGATAGAGAACACTTTTTCTGGTAGACTATTCTCCCTAGAGTGATGAAACATTCATGTTACCAAATGTTGTAGATATGACAAAACTGCAATCCCCTTCAAAAGTCACCAAAACATTGGTCTTGACCAATGGGTACAGGAAATAAAATTGTGTACATTCCTTCTGAAGAAAAAAGAGGACTTATAGGCACTAAAGAACAAACAACCAGCAGATTCAAAAAGAAAAGATGGAAAGAAATATCAACAAAACAGTGAAAGGCTACAAAGTCTCTAATAGGAAGAGAACTCTGTAGGCTCCAATTTGGCACTGAGAATAAACACACCTCTCTCTTTGATACAGTAGTGCTTTTGTATATGTTTTTGCTATAGGGCAAATGGGTTTTGAAGATTTAGCTTATTCATTAAATTCAGTATTTTGTGTTCTGCAGTGAGCTACGTGGTATATGTATATGTATATGTATGTGTATGTGTATGTGTATGTGTGTGTGTGTGTGTACGCAATAAAAAGTAGCATAAGTTCCATCCAGATGCTTACAATCTAATTTGAGGAGACAAGGTACCACACACAACTGTTACACCATTAATTCTAAAGGATGATATAAGCAAATGTAAGAATGCGGAATGCATATTACTGAATGCAGAGGACACCAGA